TAAAATAAGTTAGGTAACCTATAAACAACATATATCTGTTACTTATAACTTTTTATTTTAGAGATGAAGATTATGCTATATTGTTCACCCTAGACTGTGGGCCTTCATGATTCATCCCACAGCAGGCTGGATGTTCAGCTGGACCTCTTGGGCTAATGCAATCCTCCTATCTCACCCTATAGATATCTAAGGCCAAAATATCTGTCAGAGAACCCAACTTGAAGTTTAGAATCTATTTGGAACAGCAGCCTAAATTTGGAACTCTAGATAACTAGCTTTTTTATTGGCCACTTGCAAATATTAGAAAACATGAACTTGCTAAGAGAGGACATGAAATTTTGCATGGCCCATTGAATGGAGTCAACAGTCCCTAAAATGGCTGATTCATTAGAAGAGGGTCTAAGCTTGAAGAAAAAGAGAGAAGGAAATAAGAACCCCTGGTCCGGTGAAGAGTGAAAGGACATGGGGAATTTTGAGGCTCACACCTCCATAATGTTATGAGAGCATTCATAACAATATGGCCTAGCAGTTTGAGTAAACTGTTGCATGCATGTTGGTTTCTGGGAAAGTGTAGAGGTTTGGAACTCAGGCTTCTTGGTGGTATTTAGGAACCTTAGACTGACCTTACCTTTACTCAAGTCCACACACCTTTACTAACAACTAGACATTACAGCTCTACGTGCTTTTCCTGAGCCCCTTTTAGCTCTTGGATCTTCTGGGGCAGAGTCTTGGTCCAGAACTTGAGCCTTCTGGCCTTCAGGGCTCGGCCCACCGCAGGCTGGATGTCCAGCTGCAGGTACTGCTCTTCATGGTCCATCGCGGGCCAGTAGGGTAGATCCTAACTGTTGGGGTTCCTGTGAACATACCACATAGCAGGGAAGGGTGAGGTCACTCAGGTCCAAAGCCTGATCCTCTGATTTGGGTCAGGGCAGTGGCTGAAGCAGACTAGAGGGTTAAGAAGACTGATTTGGGTCGGAACAGATGTCCTGATATAAGATGTAGGTGCCACCCATTAGTGCCTGCTCCATGTAGGGAAAAGTTACCTGGCCTGTTTTGTGTCTCCCTGTCAGAAGCAAGCTCTAAAGATCTATAAACTGTGGTCTAACCCCCAGGGCACTGTGAGATGAACAGTAACCGACATATATAAAATGTTTCTCTACGTTTGCCCCGTATGTAGGAAAGACTATCGTGTAATGAAGGACACATGCATGGTAACGAGGCCACTGCAAACAAAAGAAGACCTGGATGGGGACTCAGCCTTAAGGGTATTGAGGGAGGGGCATTCGCTCACCGATTCCGTGCAAAGTTAGCCCAGTACTTCATCATCTTCCTGCTTAGCAGCTTCTCCTCCTCTGTGAGTTCAACTGTAGTCAGGAGGAAAGTAAGGTCTTAGTGACCTGCTTCAGCTTTCCATCCAAGTTGACACCCACCATCTCAACTGTAGCCTGACCCTGAGCTCTAAGCCTGAGTCCCTCTTCCCATCACCATCCAGGATCCACGATCCAGTCACGCCTCTAATTCAATTCTCCAAGGTTCATTTCTGCTCCAGTGTGCCCTCATTCCTTCTAGTACAGGCTAGACTGGGAGGGGCCCAGATTCTAACTCTATGATAGCATTGTGATCTATGTGTGTACTTGATCCTGTCTTCTCCCAGAGGACTGGGACTGGGACTCTCGGCTGGACTGAGAACTTACACTTCTTTCAGGGACTCTTCCAGGGGTGTTTAAAGTTTGTGGACAGTAAAGAAGACTCACATTTGATGTCCCATAAAAGGGATCCAATCACATAAAGAATCTCATCGTTATGGTCAGCCTTCACATGAGGTGGCCTGATATCCTTGAAGAAGCTGGACTGATGTTGGAACTCATAAAAATAGACAGGAGCATGGGAACCTGGGAATAAGGACACACTGTGACATAGTGACTCTTTACGGAACCGTCCTGTCTCATCTTTTATGTAAAGAAACCTTGGCATAAAATTATCTGGAATTATGTCATTTGAGTTACGAGCTCCAGGCTAGAACATTGTCGTTGGGAAAATCCTTAGCTAACAGTGAGCCCAGCCTTCCCAAGGTGTTTAGGCAATTCAGTGAGTAGCAGTAACAGGTTTCCTCACATGTGCATAGTTAAAATCCCACTGTCTTACACTAGACATAAGGATTCACTGAGGTAAGGGTCCTTAGGTGCCTGGTATTGAAGACTTGATCAAGACATGAATCAGGCCTAGACAGAACAGAGCTCACCTGGAACCCACAATTCAGTGCTTCCCCCTTGCCCTGGTTAAAAATGTACTCACGCTGAAAGTGTGCTACTTGGAGTGCGGGGATCACGAATATCAAGTCCCCCATCATCTCATGGAACTGTATTTGGAGAGTCTGAGGGTCCTCAGCGTCTCCCATGTACTCTTCCATCAACAGATCACTACACTCAGGAGGCAGCATCTATTCCAAAAACATCAGAAAGATCAACATTAGACAGACCAGTGGGTAGGGGAACGAGTCTTGGGATGGAGAGATGGAGCCCTGGATGAGATAGATCTGTAGAAGGACAGATGCAAGCTCTGACATGTGCCTACCCAGAAACACGCATTCAACAACCTTTGTTTCAGGGGTTATCTGGGAAGGGCAAGGGGACAACCCTCTTTATTGGGGAAGAATCAGTAAAATCTCACCATCTGTGCTGTTGTGCTCTTCAGAACAGCCCGCATGGTCTCTCTGCTCATTTCCTTCTTGGTGGGATCAGAGTGTAACTGGGATATGGAGGGCCATCATAAGTGTAGGATAGACTGGACCTGACTCTACAAATCTCCTAGTTCCTGCCATCCACCACATGAGCTGCCAGTCTTCCCAGAGATTGGAACTGAGCCTCACCATGGGAATGAGCCAACCATACTCATCACTGTTGATTCCAATGATGCTGGGAACAGGGTGAAAATTCGCAGAGGCCAACAACTCCAAGGGGTGTCTGGGTAAGAACACTCCATCCACCACAGCAGGAGTGCTCTAGAAGGCCTGTGAGGTATTAAAGGACAACACTGAGATTCACTCCCATAGATATTCTGGTGACTACTGAGCTATCCACACCATTTTTCTAATTTTCTAAATTTATCTCAAGATGCTTATCCTCCTCCCACCCCAACCCTAGATGATAGGCTACACCTAGGTTAGCCTATCTTGCTGTTAATTTTACACCCAGAACTAAAAAGAAACAAAGGTGTAAAGGTGGAGTAATTTGTTTAGAATAGTGTAAGCTGGCTGTCCCACACTCTCTTCTCTCCCATCCACTGAGCCACATAATTCTTCCCACATTGTTAATATCCAGAATCTCCTCTTCACTCTTGTCTCATAAGCAGCGCATCAAGGCCTTTGACTCCACAGGCTCACAGCCAGACATGTTGACCACCATCTGTAAAGGAACCAGGCAGGAGCTCTCATCCTTCAAGAGAGTTTTCCCAATCCCAACTAGATACCATATCACATCTTTTTGTGTACTGTATGTGGACTGGAGTAAGTATGAAATTGTTACTACATTTCTGTTGTTCCAAGATGATAGCAAGAGCATTCTACCCACACAATACCATATGTATATTTGTGTGTTCATGTGTGAGTGTGGACATGAACCTACCACAATTTGTCCACCTTCCACACCTTGCTTGAGACAATGTCTCTTGGTATGCAACAGCCTACACCAGGATGTTTGACCTGGCACACTCTGGGAATTCTCCTGGTCTCTGCTTTTCATCAAGGCATAGGACCACTGGGATTATAGACACATATAAAACTTTTCATGAGTTCTGAGTATTTGAACTCAGGTCAGCACTTTCACATAGTGAGCAGTTTTACCCATTGATCCATCTCTCCAACCCATGTGTACTTGTTTTTGCCAATAATGGAAGCCACTGAGTACATCCTTGCTGGCCATATCATACTCAATATGAATAAAGCAGACAAAAGTGGATTCCAACCTCTAAGCTTCTCAGAAACTAATGGGAAGAAGCTATGTCCTGTGGTTCTTGTTTTATTTCCACTGAAAAGAATTCCAGAGTTCTAGTGTGTGAGGGCTGTGCTGCCAGGCTCAGGGTTAGGATGGTTGAGGGCACTCACTTCGTAAACCACCTCAGAGGTGTTAGAGATAAGGCTGGAAAGCAGGGCGACTCCACTCTCCATGATGGCACCGTGGAACAGTCCTTGGGACATGGGGGACACAACATGTGAAGACACACTTGTGCCACCTGCTGACTCACCAAAAATAGTGACCCTGTCAGGGTTGCCTCCAAAGTGGGCGATGTTCTGCTGGACCCAGCGCAGGGCGGACACTTGGTCCAGGTAGCCCCAGTTGCCTCTGGCGTGCTGGTCTCCAGTGCTGAGAAAAGGTAGGAATAGGATTCACAGAGCTGTCCTATTTCTGCTCAGCCCTCATTGCCCTGTCCATTCCCAGGCTCACCTGAAGAAGCCCAGGACTCCTAGGCGGTACTGGATGGTGACCACCACCACATCCTCAATGGCTGCCAGTGTGGATCCATCATACGTGGAAGCCATGCCTCAAAGTAGCCCACCACCATGGATCTATACCATCACCTGGAGAAATAAAGAGAGATGCAGAAGACTCCTTGCCATCCCAAGCTCAATAGACTGCCCATTAGCTAACCAACTGTGTCTGAGAAGGTACACATATACACAGAATCCAGAACCTGGGTCACAGAAGGACTATTCTACTCTAATCAGCATTTTTCCAGCCCCTCTCTCCTCATGGAGCAATCTTATCATGGATTTGTAGCTCTAGATACAAGGTAATGTCACCATTATTCTCAAAATCTTCAAAGAGGGAACAAAAAGAGGTGTATTCATGAATGAATGTCACTCCTGGTTAATATCCAAAAGGATCATCAAATCTCATTGGTGAAACAGATATTCCGAAACTAGAAATTTGAGTGCCCTTGGTGTTCTGCCCTTGAGTGCCTGAATGGGTCTGCAGGGTTCAAGTTGGCAGAAAGAGTCTTGAATGGATCCAAGAGCCACAGCCTATGACAGCTCAGAACACAAATTCTCTATGCTCCACGCCAAAGATTCAGCTACCCACTCTGTCTGAAAAGCCCTTCCTGGACCTAGAGGGTAACTCTCTCATCTGCACACACAGCGCAGTGATGAGGCTCAGTTTATTTTTTCCTTTCCAGTCTGCCTGAGAAAGAAATCCTCTCCCCTCCACCTGGTTGACCATGGCTTTAACTCACAGGTAGGTTGGAGCCCTCGTGGGCATGGGCCGGCATATAGATGCTGAGGTACAGGCAGTCCTCAGACATAGGGACAGAAGCAGTGGACACCTTAATCTTCAGCTTTTCTGAATTCAGTTTGCCAACGTCTTGTAGACAGCTGGTGACAATGACAGAGACATGCCCTGGGTGAAAACCATCCTCTTGCTCCGGATTTTCTCTCGGCCACTTCAGTTGTTGCTCCTCATAGGGCCCTGCTAAGATGGGATCCTCCTCCAAAGCCCCTGTCTAACAAGGTATAGGCCTCGGGGTTTGTGGAAGCTGTGATAGAGCTGAACTTCCAAGCATGTTTCTGGTCGGGAGGGGCCTGCATGTTAGTATTTCTGAGTCTGAGATGGAGAGACTTCTAGGGGTCTCCATGGAAATGAGTGGGTACCTGTGTTGACATTCACCACTCCCTCTGTACTCTTAAAGGCCTGGGGTGATGGTTAGTTTTCATCACTGACTCCACACCTTGTAGAATTACCTGGGGGCAGGGGTCTCAATGAGGGGTTGTCTAGCTCAGGTTGACCTGTAGGCATTGACTGTGATGGATTTTCTTGATGGTGTGAATTAAGGTGAGAGGACCTGCTCGTTGTGAGAGGCACCACTCAATGAGAATGAGCTTCAGCACCGAGAGTGAAGAAGGTGAGCTGAGCATGCGCAGGAATGTGTGCATTCTTTACCCTTCACTTCTAATTACAGAGATGGTGTGACCAGCTCCCTTAAGGTTTGGGGTTGGCAAGTTCCTATTACTTCTGCCCTCCTTGGGGACCTGAAGTGTATTCTACTGGACACAGAGACTCCTGGTAGAAATGCACCCAACCTTGACACCAAATCCTTGGCCTAACCTGAATTTGACAACAGTTTTTTTCTTTGCTTCTCTCTGCAGTGCTGGAGCTAATTACCTGTGGGTGACAAGCTCTGACCAACTCTAGACCTTAGTACAAATTCACTGAAGATTCCCAAATACATAGAGAAAACTGCTATGGAGCTCAGATGGAGGAAACATTACAGTGTGGCACAGAGCTCAGACCTAAAGTCCTTTGGGCCCCAGAACTTACATGGCAGGGTGGGAGGTCCCATCTCTCACACCACTCCATGGTTCAGGGGCCTCAGGAGGTGCAAAACGAAGTGGTCCTACAGGTGGCTTGGCAAAGGGAATTCCCAGGAAGGTGTGGACACCAACTTCAGTGTCTTTCACATGGACAAGGCTTCCTCTCACCTGGCCCGTGTGTGTGTTCCTGATGGGGCTGGCTGAGTCCTGGCCTGTGGGTGGAGAGATACCATCAGGATTGGTTCTGTCCAAGCAGGGGTCACTACCCTGTTACCAGGGTGGGTGGTCTCTCAGTTCTGCTGTAGGATGTAGCAGTGGAAGTTTCCCTGTCTCTCACAGCCAGGGACCTCTCCCAGGTGTCTTTTTGAAGGTACCAGTACAAGCCTCTGAGTGTTTACGGATGAGGTGACACAGAGCACAGCATCACAAAAGTGTTACATTGTCACTATCCTCCATGCTCAGTAGCAAATACAGCCACAGGAGCCCTCAGGAGGGAACTATTCCTCCTACCCTCTTCCTCCGAACCTGCATGCCCCAGACTCTTCAGAGCCTCTTTGGAGGGAGTACTGGAAGGCATGTGTTTTCCACACTTCCATCTGCCATTTCCACCCTGTCATCTCGTCCCTCCCTGCTGCCTTCCTCCCACAAGCTCAGCCTCTGACTCAGCAAAACTGCACAGCTCTGACCCTGCTCCCCATTTCCCACTTAGAGAGTCTCACCCTGCACGTGGCAGAAGAGAAGCAGGAATCCACAGACCACAGCATTCAGCCATTCAGGAAGTTGATCGAGTGGCATGGCCAGCTTCTAGATGTGAGCCTGTGCTTTTACAAACAACAGTGTTTCAACAACAGGAACAGAACATGTGAGCCTTGCCCAGGCAGGAATTTGACCTAGTGGGATATGGGCAGGAGTTTTACTGGGCGGAGCAAAGTTCTTATTGCACTAACTAGTCCAAAATGACAGAAACTAATGGCCAGCAGGCAGAGCAAACCACCTCTGCAGTTTCTGTTCTTTCTTTGGCCCTCTAGAAAGATTTATTTAATCACTTCGCAGGCTGATCCTAGTCCCCTTCCTCCTCTCCTCCCAGACCATCCTCAGGCCCCCTTTCCCCCCGCCTCCATTACTCCCTCTCCTTCCTCTTCTTGGAGAAGGGGTATTAAACCACCCTGGCACCTCAACTCAAAACAAGACTAAGCACATCTTCTTCCACTGGGGCCTAATAAGACAGCCCAGCTAGGGGGAAAGGATCTAGTGACAGGCAACAGAGTGAGAGAAAGCCTCTACTTCCACTGTTAGGGGACCCATATGTAGAACACACTGCACATCTGCTACATACATGTAGGGGGTCTAGACCCAGTCCAGGCATGTTCTTTGGGTGATTCAGTCTCTGTGAGCCCCCATGGGCCCAGGCTAATTGACTCTGTAGGTCTTCTTGTGGTGTCCTTGACCCCTCCGGCTCTGTCTATCCTTCTGCCCTTGCTGCTCTTAATGATAAATTAAATAAATTAAATTAAATCATATGGAAATGTGAGCAAAATAAACCCTTTCTTCCTCAGCACAGCAAGAATGACCTTAACTAAGACACATAGAGTGGCTTCTGAAGCCCCTCTGGGATACCAAGAGCCCTGTCTTCAAACATGAAGTCACCGTGGCCCCTGTCTTTATACTCATCAGCATCAACGCAGTGCAGACAGGACAGTGAAGGTAAGGGCGCAGAATGCTGTAACAGGAGAAGCCATGGGCCCTCCCCCTGTGAATAGGTACACACTCAAGATGCCACCGATGGAGAGGAGTGCAAAGGCAGGAGTTCTGAGTGCAACCTTCAACCTCACAACTCCTCTGCTCTGTCAAGGCTCAGAGTAGTGAGTCCACCTTCAGGGTCCCTTGTTCCTTATGGTGATCTTAGGATCTACATATACCCCCTACCCCAGTTAGGTCATGTCAGTTTCACTGAAACACTGCAATTCTGCACTTAAGTCCTCATGCCCTATGCTATCCACCTCTGTACTGTGCCTGCTCTAATGGCCAAATCCTTCTGAGAAAACTTCAGTCATCTGTCTACTTTAAAAATATTGTTTAATTTTTCGCGTTTATCATTGCATGTGTGTGCATATGAACCTGCGTGTGCTTGCACACGTACGTATTGGCACTCATGGCACATATGTGGAAGTAAAGGGACAACTTGTAGGAGTCAGTTCTCCACTTCTACCATGTGGATCCTGGAGATTAAACTCAGGTTGGTTTTCAGCCTCAGCGAGAAGCTTCCTTACCCACTGGGCAATCTTCCCAGGCCACACTTGATGATCATTTCATGGAGCGTTGCTGGCTCCAGCACTAAGAATGGTCTGGGCTTTCAGAGCCTGTGATAAAGCTGGACACACATCTATAAACAGGAGTTTCAAAATCGCAGAGAAGCCTGAAAGGGTACGTTAAAGAACACAGGATCAGGAGTTCCCAGATGTCAGCCCAGGCTACTATACCCCGCAAAACTCTCCGTCCTCATAGATGGAGAAAACAAGATATTCAATGACAAAAACAAATTTCAACAATACCTACACACAAATCCAGCGTTACAGAAGATACTGAAAGGAAAAATACAACCCAAGAAAACTAGCTACTTTCAATAAAACACAGGAAATAATTAACCTCACTACAGTAAAACAAAAAACAACCAAGCACACAACCTTATGACCGCATCCAATATCAAAACCAAAGGATCAAACAGCCACTGGTCATTAATCTCTCTCAACATGAATGGACTCAACTCTCCAATAAAAAGACACAGACTAACAGAATGGATACGTAAACAAAATTCAGTAATCTGTTGCATTCAAGAAACACACCTAAGTCACAAAGATAGACATTACCTGAGGATAAAGGGTTAGAAGACGGCTTTCCAAGCAAATGGAACTAAGAAGCAAGCAGGAGTAGCTATTCTAGTATCTGATAAAATAGACTTTCAACCAAAATTAATAAAAAGAGATGGGGAAGGACACTTCATACTCATTAAGGGAAAATTCCACCAGGAAGACATCACAATCCTGAACATTTATGCCCCAAATAGAAGGGCACCCACATTTGTAAAAGAAACATTGATAAAACTTAAATCACATATACATCCCCACACATTAATAGTGGGAGACTTCAACACCCCACTCTCAACAAATGACAGGTCAACAAAACAGAAATTAAACAAAGAAACAATAACTCTGACAGAGGTCATGAATCAAATGGACCTAACAGACATTTACAGAACCTTACACCCAAACAAAAAAGAATCTCCCTTCTTCTCAGCACCTCATGGAACCTTCTCCAAAATAGACCACATAGTTGGTCACAAAGGAAGCCTCAACAGATGCAAAAAGATTGAAATAATCCCTTGTATCCTGTCTGATCACCATGGAATAAAGCTGGACTTCAACAACAACAGAAATAGCAAAAAGCCTACACACACATAGAAACTGAACAACTTGCTACTAAATGACAACTGGGTCAGGGAAGAAATAAAGAAAGAAATTAAAGTCTTCCTAGAACTCAATGAAAATGAAGACACAACATACCCAAACTTGTGGGACACAATGAAGGCAGTGCTAAGAGGAAAGTTCATAGAACTAAGTGCCTTCAAGAAGAAATTCGAGACCGCGCATTCAAGCAACTTAATGGCTCACTTAAAAACCCTAGAAAAAGAAGAAGCAGACACACCAAAAAGGAGTAGACGGCTGGAAATAATCAAACTCAGGACTGAAATCAATTAATTAGAAACAAATAAAACAATTCAAAGACTCAATGAAACCAAGAGCTGGTTCTTTGAGAAAATCAACAAGATAGACAAACCCTTAGCCAAGCTAACTAAAAGGCACAGAGACACCATCCAAATCAACAAAATCAGAAATAAAAAGAGGGACATAACCACAGACACTGAGGAAATCCAAACAACCATTAGGACTTACTTCAAAAGTCTATATGCCACAAAATTTGAAAATCTAAATGAAATGGACAATTTTCTTGACCAATTCGACTTACCAAAGCTGAATCAGGACCAGGTAAATCAACTAAATAGTCCTATATCCCCCAAGGAAATAGAAGCAGTCATCAAAAGTCTCCCATCCAAAAAAGCCCAGGACCAGATGGCTTCAGCGCAGAATTCTACCAGACCTTCAAAGAAGAGCTAACTCCAATTTTCTCCAAACTATTCCACAAAATAGAAACAAAAGGAACACTACCAAACTCATTCTATGAAGCCACAGTCACCTTGATACCTAAACCTCACAAAGACCCAACAAAGAAAGAGAATTTTAGGCCAATCTCCTTTATGAACATTGATGCAAAAATACTCAACAAAATACTTGCAAACCGAATGCAAGAACACATCAAAGATATCATCCACTATGACCAAGTAGGCTTCATCCCAGGCATGCAGGGATGATTCAATATATGAAAATCCATTAATGTGATCCACCATATTAACAAACTGAAAGAAAAAAAAACCACATGATAATCTCTCTAGATGCTGAAAAAGCATTTGACAAAATCCAGCATCCATTCATGTTTAAAGTATTGGAGAGATCAGGGATACAAGGCACATACCTAAACATAGTAAAGGCGATATACAGCAAGCATATAGCCAACATCAAACTGAATGGAGAGAAACTTAAAGCAATCCCACTGAAATCAGGGACAAGACAAGGCTGCCCACTCTCTCCATATCTCTTCAACATAGTACTTGAAGTCCTTGCTAGAGCAATAAGACAGTTGAAGGAGATCAAGGGGATACAAATTGGAAAGGAAAAAGTTAAATTATCATTATTTGCAGATGATATGATAGTATACATGAATGATCCCAAAAACTCTACCAGGGAACTCCTACAGCTGATAAACACCTTCAGCAAAGTGGCTGGATACAAAATTAACTCAAAAAAATCAGTAGCCCTCCTGTATACAAAAGACAAAAGAGCTGAGAAAGAAATTAGGGAAACAACACCCTTCACAATAGCCACAAATGACATAAAGTACCTTGGAGTAACCCTAATCAAGGAAGTCAAAGACTTGTATGAAAAAAATTTCAAGTCTCTGAAGAAAGAAATAGAAGAAGATATCAGAAGATGGAAAGATCTCCCATGCTCATGGCTTGGCAGGATTAACATAGTAAAAATGGCCATTTTACCAAAAGCAATCTACAGATTCAATGCAATTTCCATCAAATTACCAACACAATTCTTTACAGACCTGGAAAGAAAAAGTCTCAACTTCATATGGAATAACAAGAAACCCAGAATTACTAAAACAATTCTCTACAATAAAAGATCTTCTGGAGGTACCTCCATCCCTGATCCTAAGCTGTACTATAGAGCAACAGTTATAAAAACTACATGGTACTGGCATAGAAACTGAATGGTGGATCAATGGAACCAAACAGAAGACCCAGAAATAAACCCACACATCTATGGACACCTGATCTTTGACAAAGGTGCCAAAACCATACAATGGAAAAAAGATAGCATCTTCAACAAATGGTGCTAGTCTAAGTGGATATCTACATGTAGAAAAATGAAAATAGATCCATACTTATCACCATGCACAAAGCTGAAGTCCAAGTGGATCAAAGACCTCAACATAAAACCGGACACACTAAATCGGTTAGAAGAAAAAGTGGGGAATACCCTTGAACTCATTGGCACAGGAGACAACTTTCTGAACAGAACACCAACAGCACAGGCTCTAAGAGCAACAATCAATAAATGGGACTTCATGAAACTGAAAAACTTCTGTAAAGCAAATGACACCATCATCAAAACAAAATGACTGCCTACAGACTGGGAAAGAATCTTTACCAACCGTTTATCTGACAGAGGGCTAATATCCAGTATATATAAAGA